GAACTTACTTAATATATACAGTTGTGGCCAAAATTATTTTCCCCTACTGAATATTTGCCCCTACTGATTATTGGCATATTTTTCAGGCTTTCGACTGATTGTTATAGGCTGATGATCTTTTCCTTATTTTCCATGATATTTTTGGTGTGATTTGCGTTTTGTTTTTAATTTCCCAGATCTGGCACAGGGCTCCGTCCCTGTGCTGGCGGTAACACGGCTACGACTAGCTTGGACCGGCTCTGACCAGTCTTGGACCAGCTATGACAACCCAAGACCAGCTATGACTAGCTTAGACTAGCTCTGACCAGCTTGGACAAGCTATGACCAGCTAAGACCAGCTTAGACCAGCAGCCCGAGTGAAAAAACTTGGGTCCCCACGTTAAAACTTGCTTTGTGTCAAAACCTGACTCAGTGAGGGGTGAAGTAAATATCTATACTTAGAAAGCATTGTGCTGTTCGCGTATTTACTATGTATGAAAGATGTTTTGTGTGCATAGTTTCTTTGTTTCCAGGGTCCTTTAGTTACTCCTATGTATACTTTTTCTTCATTATTTTGTGATTTTACCGTGGCTTGGTATATTACATTATTTTGTAAGCAATTACCATTTATGGGACATTCATTCAAGTAATTACTGAAATTACCTTAATAGATTCCGTATTTTGTGTTGAATAATTGGTGTATAAGTTTTGATCTGTTATATTCATAGTTATAGATTTTTCTAAAAATTGATGTAGTTTAAAATTATGGAAATTATGAAATAATATTGCTCTATGGCAATTGTAATGACAACAAAAGTAAGGAATTGGCATACCCTGCTCTGTGGATGTTTTGCTGCTTCTGGACCAGAACTAGGGAGAGTACAGGGTATCATGGATAAAGAGTTTTATTTGGCTATTCTAAAAAATAATATAAAAGAAGGTGTACAAAATCTGTCTTTGGGGTGTCACTGGACATTCCATCATGACGATGACCTGAAACACACAGCAGGAATTGTTACAAAATGCTTGAATGACAACAAAATAAAGATTTTGGAGTACCCTGCACAAAGTCATGACATAATATTGCTCTATGACAATTGTAATAATTTTTTCTTAATTTGATATTTAATACAAACACTCTTTTGAAAATGAAGCATTGACATGATTCTATAATATTATAATAATAAAAAAATAAAGGTTTTTATAATATTATAATAATAATAAAAGGTAATGAAGATGTGTATGCCACGTAGCGTGATAACTAATTCGTTCTGCAAACATGGCGAAGACGGCTGAATTGAAAAGAGACTCCGAATGCGTACAAGGTGATGGCTACACAACACTTTCTAAGCGTTTCAATGTTCCTAGATCGACAATTCGTAGCATTATCAAGAAGTATAACGAGACACAGTGTTGAGAATGAATTACGGACCCAGAGTAGAGCTCCAACGGCTGTTGACTGACAACACTGACAAAAAATTCGGCAACGCTTGCAGACAATTCGCTACCTGTATTCCTTTAGATCTTTTCGATACGCCCGGGAGGTGAACCATGCAACAGGGGGCATACTCGGCGTTAAAATACCAGAAGTCACCCCAGTCTCACCACCAAATGAATACTTAACTTTAAATATCAATTTTTTTTTTATTGTTTCCCCGTTTTCGAAGTAAAATGGTAGACCGTTCTTCAAGGGGTTCTGTTTTTTAAATGATATTTCCAATCATTTCAATTTATTTCGCGTCTTTTCAATCCGCTTTGCTCATATGCGCATACAGTGACCAGACTTTTTATATATATATATATATATATATATATATATATATATATAATTATTAGAAAATTATAAAATAAGTATGTTATAAAATAACTACAAAAATAGCCATTTTGTTTCAACACTTCTGGTGTCTTATCAAGTGAGGGTGTTGAATCCATCACTTGATAAGACACCAGAAGTGTTGAAACAAAATGACTATTTTTGTAGTGATTTTATAACATATTTATGTTATAATTTTCGAATAAATATATTTGCTCTACTCTGTACTGAGCACTCTTTTAAGAATAGTATTTGTTGGTTATTGGAATTCATTCCGTAATACACCAATCCTATACTTGATATATATATATATATATATATATATATATATATATATATATATATATATATATAAATTGCTGTGTTTTAAAGACACAGCTAAAATCACATTTCCATGGTTACAGAATATTTTACTTCAATTGGACAAGGGATGTCTAGGTTTTCCTTATGTCAGTATCATTGTATCAGTTATTAGCTACAATTTGGTAAGGGGTAGGTATGTATTTTTCAATGAAAACTGAGATCCGTTCAATGTATATATATATATATATATATATATATATATATATATATATATATATATATATATATATGTCTGTGCCTGTGTGTTTGTGACGGCACACACTTCCGGCCATTATTTTAAGGTATTTTATTGTTATATAGGCAGAAATATTTAAGTAAATGCTCTATTTATGATAATAAGTATTATCACCATTTAACGGCCAGAATATATATAAGACTGGTAACATGTATGCGAGGATGTCCGTCTATTAGGGTGGCTTCCCAATCTCTGTTTCATATGCCTGATCAGGTGTAGTCAACACCCACAAATCCCACTTGGGTTTTATCCTGCCACTATGCTGAGCCGACCTTAGTTACAGTTTTTTAGGGGAACGGGGAAAGTGGATTATCTAGCAAAATCAACAGTTTGGACAAGGCCAGCACGTTCAAACCCTCGGTCACGATGACTTGTGACTTCGTGCTAGCACAGCCATCGACGTCTCCCAATAGTTTCACTTACAATGCTTAGGTTAACCCGTGATATGTTTTTTCAGGCACTTTCCTGGGTTCCCCTGACTCGGACCAATAACATCAAGAAGGTACCTTACCGACACATTGACTATGGTGATATTCGAACCCGGATCTCATGTTGTTATACTGTGGCGAACGAATTTTTTTTTCTTCCAGCGAATGAATTCGAATCTTTGTCGCCACTTGTTATGGTCCGGTTCCTTGTACCACGGTGATAGTGCAAGGTAGAACCAATAAAGAAGAACTCGAACACGGATATGGAATAACACAGATATATTACAAACAAGAATATATACAGAGAAGTAGAAAGTGTTAGTATGAAAAATCAGGTTTAGTAGAGAGAACAATGTAGTCTCGACCAGTATCACTATTCCAATGTCTTGTAGTAATTGTCTGAACGCGACTCGGACTGCCTCTGATTCGACTCTTGACTCGACTTGAACTACTGTCTCGACTTGAACGACAGACTCCTTGTCTACTTCTGAGGCGCAGTATTTATTAAGTATGGAATAGTCCATTATTATTATTATGGGTAAGATCCCATAACACATCTTCAGAAAGCGAACGTTCTAATGTCCAGGTTCACCAAGTTGTAACTTTTCAAATTTTCTTCTATAAATGCCATTCCGTTGGATTCTAATCCAACGTTACTCACACGCAGTTGCACACACGAGAAAAGGGTAAGTGTGTAAGGATCAGTACACGGCCTCCATAAACCATCTTCCAGGCCTATACTCTTAGATTTCACGCCTCTCTAATCAAAGACAACTGAATTTCGACCAAGCCTTGCGTTGCCATTATTTCGTAAGATAAACCGATTGCTACTATCCTTGATAATGTATTGTGTACACGTTGCAACTTTATTATAAAAGGCCGACTTATCAATTTGTCACGTGATAGGTGGTAAAGATTATTTACATCTTCGACGAGACATCGGTAAGCAGAGAAATTTTTGAAATACTTGGTTAATCTAAAATATGAAACTCCAATTAAAGGATAGAAGCCAAAAAGAGGACAAAAAATCTACTGAGGAAATATGAAAGAAATTGGTCCGCCGACCAAATTTTTTTCTATAATTGGACAGTTTCATAGTATTTCTAGACGAAAGACAGCCAGCAAAGGTATAACGACTTCGACAAGATAAATACATTTTCCTTTTTTCTATCTATCTATCTATCTATCTATCTATCTATCTATCTATCTATCTATCTATCTCGCTTTGTTTATCTATCTATCTATCTATCTATCTATCTATCTATCTATCTATCTATCTATCTATCGCTTAGTTTATCTATCTACATACTGCGTGCCAAATAAATTGGTACTGATCAAGGCTTTAAGTACATGTTGAAGTCTCAAGTTATTTTTCATATATATATATATAAATATATATTGTTGCACCGGCATCTAAAACAAGGGAATTACACCGGTGCCAGTAATACCTACCCGGTGTAAGCAGCGACAGTACTACAACTGCCTAGCTGAGTAGTACCCGTTTCCTACATTTGTATCTGTGATGTTAAATACACTTGTTCTTTAAACCAACTTCGACTTGATTTTCTTATTTTTACTATTGTGCCACGACACAACATATACATATATATATATATATATATATATATATATATATATATATATAGAGAGAGAGAGAGAGAGAGAGAGAAAGAGAGAGAGAGAAAAAGATAAATAAACCGAGATAGATAAACAAATAAATGAAAACATAGATAGATAGATAGATAGATATACACTGCGTGCAAAATTATTATCGAGGTCACTTTTTTCTAATATTTCAAATACCATCCAATCAATTCCCACAAACTTTTCACACAATGTTGGCAACACTAACCTGCGCAATCACTGAAACTTTCGTACTGATCTGCGCAATGTAAACAAACTGACTGAATGAAATGAATGAAAGATGACTTGAGACTTCAACATGTACTTAAAGCCTTGATCAGTACCAATTTAAGTATTGTTATATTAAAAAATGCCAATATCTAAGGAAAATTTCGGCCAAAGATTTTCAGAGGTCAATCGTTGGATATTACAGTTTTTTATTCCTTTACGAGAACAACAAAAACTCTTTTATGGGTTTAATATGGAAAGAAACTGGCGAACGATTCAAAGATCAAAATTTTCACATACACACACGCACACACACATAGATATAAAGCAACTACGATAGACAGACTGATAGACTGATAATGCGATAGATAGATGGATAGATAACAGACTGAGATAGATAGATAGATAGATAGATAGATAGATAGATAGATAGATAGATAATGAACATATCCAGAGATAGATAGATAGATAGATAGATAGATATGAACAGACTGAAATAAGTAGATAGATAGATAGTTAAATATTAACCGACTGAGATAGATAGATAGATAGATAGATAGATAGATAGATAGATAGATAGATAGATAGATAGTGCGATATATGGATAGAAAGATAGAGATTGCGTTAGACAGAGAATGCGATATATATATATATATATATATATATATAGAGAGAGAGAGAGAGATAGATAGATACTGCGATATATGGATAGAAAGATAGAGATTGTGATAGATAGAGAATGCGATATATATATATATATATATATATATATATATATATATATATATATATATATATATATATATATATATAGAGAGAGAGAGAGAGAGATAGAGATAGAGATAGATAGATAGATAGATAGATAGATATTGACTGTCTCAAACAAACAAACAATGAAATGTTTAAATTCATAACAAAGATTGTTTATATTAATAAGAAATGTCGGATTAACATTAATTTCATAGGAATAACTGTTTATTATCCAAGTACAGAAAGAAATTTAACCCAAATGTACATTTGAGCCCAAATGGGCTCTCGAGATCTGAAAGAGAAGAGTCCTTAAATAGGCAAATTGAACTTATTCAGGTGAAGAGTTATTTTCTCTAGCCTTGGGGTCTAAAGTGCGCACGTTCAGATGGTGGATTATACTACAAAGAGGAATGCAATTTCGAAAACTGTAGGAAAGCAGTTTCTTTTTGTTATTTTGTCTTTGATGCACAGGCCGGTAAACGCAATTTGCAATGTTTAGAATAAATTTTCAAATAAGGCATGGCGTCTATTCAAACATATTTATGAGAGTAGTTATCTATGTATATAAAACAGAGGATGTATGTGTGTGTGTGTGTGTGTGTGTCTGTGTGTCTATCTGTCTGTGCGATAGCTTTTCATTCAAGATCCACCAGACCGATTTTACCCAAACTTGAAGATACATTAGACAATGCAAGAGATAGGTTCTTATCGTAAAAAAGTCGATAATTTTTAGAAAATCGATAATCGATATAGCCGATCGAAAATCGATAAATTCAACTTTTTTCCTCCGAATTTGTTCAAATTCGATATGTAGGTTACTTACATCAAAACCTCATTTTAATTCCTACACCACTGCGTTTAGTGAAAAACCGTGAAACCGAAAAATCTATTTTAGAAAATGGAATTCAATACAAATTTTAAACTAAACATTCCCTGATTTGTTGCCAACAATAAGTTGATTGTTTAACAGTCATTTAACTTAATAATTGAGTCCACCCATATAGTGAAAACCCGAGTAAATAGCGAAAAATGGCGATTTTTACTGGTTTCTTTCTTATTTTTCGTTGACCTTTCAACCAATTTTCACCAAATTTAACAATTGCTTTATGAATGTATCCTCTTTTACATCCCTGGTAGAACACTGACAAATTGAATTTCAAAAACTTCGAAATAATTGTCGTCTGAAGTGGGCCTTCATGTTACCTGTTTTACCCCTTCATGTCCTCAGCTAACTTCGATTAAATAAATACAAACTACTTAAGTTATATCAGTAACTGTATTAATTCAAAATGTTTTTTTTTTAAATGAACGTACTTTAAAGTAATTGAAGAAGATAGACTCTGTTACATGTAAACATGATGCTGTTTTTGCTCCATTCTAATTGAACGCTTTTTCTGATTGACCAGCTGGTTATGGTTGCTTATGTGTGTGTGTGTGTGTGTGTGTGTAATATATGATAAAGACATTAAGGCAAATTGTATAGAATTATTGTAATTTGGGGGGTAAGACATATTTTACAATTGAGAATATTTAAGCTAATAACATCTTCCTTTAAGTCACTCGTCTTTTAAATTTTAAGAACATCAGTCATTACCAATATTACCAGAAATAGCATTCAAGTTTCACACTAACAGAATGTCGCGTCCTGGGTATGGCGATAAACTATATCTTGCAGCAAGGCCTCTGAACGGGTGATTTTGAAGTGCGTGGAATTTATTGATTGCTGTTGTTCTCAGGTCCACCCTGACCTGGGATAGTAGCACCTGTTAGTGACCCTGCTAAGGGCAAATAATGAACTCGCAAAGTGGGGTCAAAACACTATGAAATTATAAAAATGTATTTTTATAGTAAAAATTCTAGCAGTACATCTTCAGAGTAAAACAAATAAAAAAAATACCGGCAATTCATTTTTGTAAAAATAAAAATACCAACATACATTTTTGAAAAAAAAAAAAAAAATTAGAACAATATATTTTTGGAAAAAAGTAATTACTAATGGTCCCAAGAAAATTTAATTTTGGCATCAAATGACCCATGAGTTGTTGATGTGCCGTTAAACAAATAAGCAATCAAACAGAATGGCAGTCAGTTTTTCAAGATATTATGATTTGTCAATTTGTCAAGAGAAGTGATAAAGGATTTTGTGTAGTTTGTACGCTGTGAACTTTAAAAAACTTTGGCCATCTAAGAAATGAAAATCCAGTTAAAGAATAAATTGCATCAACTCGAAAAATGTAACGTGGAAATCTGAGTTTTACATATTATGGAAGCGTCATGACAGAAATTGCTTCCATCTCTTTTCTTTATAAGTGGACATGTCAAAATTATGCTCTAAGTAAACTAGATGTTCTAATATTCCTAGAAGAATGACAGGCAAAAAAACAAATTTATTCCTGTTGGAAATTGCATCCGCGAGATCCGGGAATATCGCTGTAGCCGTTCCTGCCATGTCCTTCTCGTTCTATACAGCGAATCGAATATTACAATATATTTTATGCCGAAGAGTAATGTCGAATTTTATATCACTAAATCGACTTCAACGATGCTCTGTTTATACATTGAATAAATCTATTAGAAAAGAAACGATGCTCATGAAGATTCGAAAGTAATGTTACATATTCTAGTATTTTGGGAACGTTTCAGAGTTGCGTCTATCTGTTCCGACAAATGAGGTTGAACATTTCTGTGTTGATTGCTAATAAAAGAAAGAAAGAAAGAAAAGACTTTCGATTATTGAAACCAATTCTCATTAAAAGAAGTCACAAATGGTATTTCAAATATAATTAAAAATATTTTGAGTGAGTACCGACTCATGTATGTTATTTTTATATTGTCTTGTGTATGAAATCATGACAGTTCATAATCAAATAATTATCAAAATAGAAAAAATTGAAAGCAATAAAATGTTTTCATAGATTACATTAATTTCTTTTATCTTCATAATAAATACAATAATCACTGAAAGCGTTTAATCAATCAGTTTGGAGACTATGTGAAATAATAGTAATGTCTGGTATAAAATACAATATCAATAATAATACTTTTGTAAAAAGATAATAAAAATAAATTTAATAATTTTGTAATGACATAATAACAATTTTTATATTGGCATAATAACAATTTTTATAATGATATAATAATTTTTTAGAGATTTAACGATGATAATAATAATGCAGGTTTATAAATATTCAAACTAACTATATGTCAAAAAGTGTGTATATTTTTGGACCATCCTGTATATATTTACACCCCCCACACACACATTTTCTCCCTCTTTCTCTCTCTTCCCCGCATACAAATACACACATACACACGCACATACACATATATATTATATATATAATACATAAAAGTTTAATGAAACAGACCAGCAAACAGTAGTATTAAAAAGTGTGAAAAAATAAAATAAAATTTAAAAAAAATAAATATGTAGAGGTTTTAATTTTAAAAATCAAGAGGTCAGTTGAATCCGCTAGCTTGGCTTCAACCTTACGGTATCTGCCGGCAATTTTTATTAAATGACCATTTTTTAAAAAATAAAAAAACATATATTTTTTTTCTTTTAATAAATAAACCAACGTACGGGGTTGGGTGTCATGGAAAGGAAGGAGAAGCATGTGAAGAAGGAAGGAGAAAAAGAAGAAGCAGTAAAAAAGATAAATTAATATGGCGTTCTTTTTTTCCCCCATGATGTGTTGGGAGGTCAATTGATAAAAACACCTGAAGATACCGTATAGTTAAAACCAATGTAGCAGGTTCAGCTGACCTCCTGATTTTTAAACTATATATATATGTAATTAAATAATTCTGCACACATTTAAAGTTAAATAATTCTGCACATATGTTTGCTAGTTCCTCTGTTGCTTCAGCTAAATCAAAATGGAAAGCTTAATATCAGTGAGTTGTTAATTCCGGGAGGAATAAATGTGATCTTATTATCTCCAGACCTGATAAAGGTGCTGGAGTTGTGATTATAGATCGGGCAGATTATGTGACTAAGATGTCTTCGATTTTGGAAGACACTTCGAAATTTATAAAGCTAGGATCTGCTGATATATGCGATGCAACTGCTTCAGGTAAAGTAAAATTTCAGAAATTACTCCTGAAGTGGGTGAAGACTGGGGTGCTTCCACAAGAAATTTCCAGTGAAATTCGACTGCCTGGTTCGATTCGTCCCCGGCTATATGGGCTTCCAAAAATCCACAAGGATGGGGTACCATTGAGACCGATTTTATAAATGGTTGGTTCAGCCCAACACAAAATAGCCAAATGGCTCTCATTGCTTTTGGAACCAGTGTTGCAGCGCTTGAGTGGATTTTGCATAAAGAATTCTTTTTTTTCCTTTGCTGACCGTATCAGAAATTTGTCTTCATCGGGTAAGTTCATGTGTTCCTTTGATGTCTGTTACTTATTTAACTGTGTCCCTTTGTTGGAAACAATTAATATTTGCTGTGATATTCTTTATCGCAGTTCCTTGTCGCCACCTAGTATTCCTGAGTCTGTATTTTTGGACTTAATGAAATTTGCCACATCGTCTGTTGAATTTGGTTTTAATAACACCATATTTCGACAGATTGACGGGGTCGCTATGGGTTCTCCTTTGGGTCCGGCACTTGCCAATATTTTTGTTGGTTTTCATGAGGAGAGAATATGTAGTAATACACTTATGCCTCAACTGTATTGTCGATATGTCGACGATACTTTTTGTTTATTTAATGATGAAGTTGAGGCTGACCAGTTTTTCTCTTTCCTGAATGGTATCCACCCAGCGCTTAGGTTTACGGTCGAGAAGGAATTTAATTTTCAACTTGTCTTCTTGGATGTCTTAGTACATCGGTCACCGACAATTTTTCTCACCTCTGTTTATAGGAAACCAAAATTTGCGGGGTTATATACGCGTTGGGATTCCTTTTGTCCTAGAAAACGTATGATAAACATAATTAGA